AGGCAGGGTAATTAGGACACCTGGAGCCAATTAAGAAGAAGTTGCTAGAATCAATTAAGGCAGGCTAATCAGGGCATCTGGGTTTTAAAAAGGAGCTCACTTCAGTTTGTGGTGTGAGTGTGAGGAGCTGGGAGCAAAAGGCACAAGGAGCTGAGAGTGAGAGGATGCGCTGCTGGAGGACTGAGGAGCACAAGCATTATCAGACACCATGAGGAAGGTCCTGTGGTGAGAATAAGGAAGGTGTTTTGAGGAGGCCATGGGGAAGTAGCCCAGGGAGTTGTAGCTCTCATGCAGCTGTTACAGGAGGCACTATAGACAGCTGCAGTCCACAGGGCTCTGGGCTGAAACCCGGAGTAGAGGGTGGGCCCGGGTTCCCCCCAAACCTCCCAATTGACCTGGACTGTGGGTTCTTCCAGAGGGGAAGGTCTCTGGGCTGTTCCCGAACCCACATGGTGAATCTCTGAGGCAAGAAAATCTGCCAATAAATGCAGTACCCACCAAGATAGAGGAGGAACTTTGTCACAAATCCCATTCAGACTCAGTAGCAGACTCATACATTTCTTCACTTGAATCACCCATGAGAGGGGGGACAAATGCCCTTCTGGATTAATGTGGAATATATTTACATCTTGTTTGAATCTAGAAAACAGGACAGAGTTGAGTTTTCTAGCTTCAGACATGGAAAACTTCTCCCATGTTTGTATGAGCTGAGAGAGGAGTTAAAAATATTCTTAACTTTGGAGAAATCCACATACATGGACTTAATCACTGACCTTGCCTCCCTGACTGATACATTCCACCACCTCAATGAATTGAACAGGAAAATGCAAGGTAGAAATGAGAATATATTCTGCTGCATGGATAAACTGCATGGGTTTAGATCTAAGTTAGAAGTCTGATATGAAAAAAGTAGCAAAAGGCACAATAGAGATGTCCCCCCTGGAAAACATGGCAGATCCTATTGGAGGTATTTTGGTCAATGTCATTTCTCATCATTTGAAAAGTCTGGAAAAATTCAGCTCCTATTTTCCTTCAACCTATATAGAAGATTTTGACCCAGTCTGGGATTCCTAGATTTCCCCTGCAATGGGAAGTGCTAAGAATCTTACAATAATGACTCAAGAGCATCTTGCCAAATTAAGGATGGATCACTCTTTTAAAATTAAGTTTGGCAACATGTCTTTGGATTCATTCTGAGTGACAGTGGCATCTGAGATTGGTGGAGCAAGAACTCTGAGTTGCACTGTCAACATTTCCAGACAGGATTAAATGACTCTGCACACAGGTGCTGATTTTTTATGTGCTGTGGAATGCTCTCCCTGGCTCCGCCCCAGGCCTCGTCCCCATTCCACCCCTTCCCCAAGGCCCCACCCCGCCTCTTCACATCCCCATTCTGCCCCCTCCCCTGAGCGCAGCCCAACCTCGCTCCTCCCCCCATCCCTCCCAGCACCTCCAGCACACCGCTGAACAGCTGATCACCAGAGTGCAAGGAGGCACTGTGGGGAGGTTGAGGTGCTGATTGGTGGGCCACCGCTGGGTGGGAAGCTGCTGGTGGGTGCTGAGCACCCATCTTTTTATGTGGGTGCCTAGGCCCTGGAGCACCCACGGAGTCAGCGCCTATGATTCTGCATCTCAAGACAAGCTCAAATTTCTCATTAAAATTGTTTTGTTTAGTGTATGGTGGGGTGTGATACACAATCTTTTTACTGAAGTAAGAGTGGAGACTGGAAAAGGTTGGGGAAACACTGGTCTACTGGGATTATATCCCTTATAGTTTGGGCAGAGTTGCGCATGATGTGAGTAGGGCATCCAAGACCTATCACTTCCCTTTTTCAGCTTGTCTTTACTTTGTGCAAATTTTCTCTTACATTACTGTATAGGCTGCCAAAGTTTGTGTTTGTTTTATCCACTGAGAATGCTTCAACCCTATTTTCGATTCCACACTTATTAATAAGGTTAATTATTTCAGCTGCAGTAAGTTCAGACATCTCCCCTTTAAGTTTCACAAAATCCACAAGTTTAATTTGCACACACGAACTGCCTTCATAAAGCTTAAAATAGCAAACCAATACAGGAAGCAATTTTACATGTCTGTGAGTAATGCATCAGCGGGCAGTAACACACATTCAACATCTTTCTGGTCATCAATTAGTTCATCATTTGCCCATGGAGCAAAAACATTTGCAACACTTGCTTCACACTTTGTCCATGCACATGAGAATTTTGGAATGCTGAATTTTTTTATTTAAATTGGAAGTACAATCCATTGACCTGAAACTGTGATTATGTCTAACAGTATGATAGGCATATATTCCTTCTTGCTAGGTCATGCTCACTCTGCATTGGCTCAACTTTGTGGGGGGGAAAAAAATCAGTAACAGAACTTGAAACTAGCACTTGCTATAAGAGCAGCTTTATGTTTAGTGATAACTCCGTGTTCTTTTATAGATGTCCTGCATCCACTGCAAACAGAAAATACTGACTGGCCTATTGAACATAATACAGATGTTTCTTTCCAGTTGGTTGTAAATATAGAAAATCCTTTTGAAGCTGGTTAAAGCAGCATTTATGCAGTTTTGACAATGCCATTTTCACTTTGCACCAAATCTTGCATGTGTTCTATGTCATATATCATTCAGTCAGCATCAGAGCTATGGCAACTGCAATAGTGGTGTGACATCTATGTTCTAACAGTAACAATAACAATAATAGAGATAAATATCCAGCATGTTTCTAATGCATTGATGCATTAGACATAATAACCAACATGAGAAATTAAAAGTAAGGGTATTTGGGGATGAGTTTCGTGAACCGGGGACTCTTCCGAGGATTTGGTTTGCCCAGGGACACAGTACCTCATCATATGGTCACCCTAATATAACTACATGACTCACAGGTGTGAAAAATCCACACCCCTGAGTGACGCAGTTATACCGACCTAGGGCCCTGGTGCAGACTGCGCTAGGTCGATAGGAAGGCTTCTCACGGCAACATAGCTACTGCCTCTCACAGAGGTGGAGTACCTACATTGACAGAAGGCCCTCCTGTCAGCATAGGTAGCTCTTCACTGAAGTGCTACAGCAATGCAGCCGCGTTGGTGCAGCATTTTAAGTGTAGGCCTGCCCTCACCAATACAAGTTGGTTCAATAAAAAATATTACCTCACCCACCTTGTCTCTCTAATACCCTGCAACTCACATGGCTACAACAAGGGCCGGCTTTAGGAAGTGCAGGGCCCGATTCAACGGGGCCCCGGCAGGGATGATTCACTCAGCAGCGCTCCGGGTCTTCCGCAGCACTGAGGGACCCGCTGCCGAAGACCCAGTAGGGAACCGCCCGGTGAGTACATTTTCCCCCCCATCCCATCCCCACCCATGTCCTGCCCCTGACTGCCCCCTCAGAAATCGCAACCCATCAACCCCCCCGCTCCTTGTCCCCTGACCACTCCTTCAAGACCCCCCACCCTAACTGCCCCCCAGAACCCCACCCCCTACCCAATTCACCCTGTCACCTGACTGCCCCAACCCCATCCATCACCACCCTGACAGACCCCCGGAACTCCCACGCCTACCCAACACCCCACTTCCCCATCCCCTGTCTGCCCCCCCCAGAACCTCTGCCCGATCCACCCCCCACCCGCTTTCTGTCCCTGGGACTCCCTGCCCCTGCCTCTTCCAACCCACCCCCGGCCTCTTACCATGCCGCTTACCCCCACCACGCCGGAGCCACAGCCGGAGCTGCGGGTCCGGGCCGGAGGGAGCCGCCTGGCCGGGGCTGCTCGGCCGGAGCGGGCCGTGCCACGCCTCCCTGGAGCCCTCCTTGAGCCCCCCAGCCCCAGCTTACCTGCCGCTTCTTGTTTCCAGACTTCCCGCACGAATATCTGATTCGCGGGAAGCAGGAGAGGAGAAGGGGGGCGGAGCATTCAGGGGAGAAGAGCTGGAGCCGGGGGCGGAGCAGACAGCTGCCGCGGGGCCCTCTTAGCCGCGGGGCCCAATTCAGTGGAATTGGTAGAATCAGCCTAAGGCCGACCCTGGCTACAACAACACTGCATGTCCAAACAAACAGACCACACTTGTAAACTTTAAGGAAAAGAAGAGAAAAACCAAACAGACAAACAAGGTCACTCACTTCCAATGAAATGGAGGAAGAGTGGGCTATGGTTGAAGGGTTTACAGAACCACGTAGCCCTCTGTTGTGCTACTTTAGTACAACTTTGTGGACACCTACTGTCATGTTATTGTAACCAAGCTATTATGGGGATGCTGCTCACAACTCCATGCTGAAGTTTGAGTTTGCAGTTAAAGCAGGGATCCAACCTCTATGTTGTATATGAAAAATATAGGAACCTCCCTAGAATCACAGCACTTATTACTGAATGAATTTTCTGAGAATTTAAAAGTAAATTCATTAATTTGTTTGAGTTAAAATTAATTTTAAAATGGGCCCTTTCAAAAATTTAGCTCTCAGTGTCAGACTTTTTTTTTCTCCGAAATGATCTTTCTCAATAATGGAATAACAGATTCTTCAAAGCATTTTTTTGTATTTGTCTCTTTAAATTTTCAGAGTTGTGCAAAATTATGAGTTTTAAGCATCCTCAGGTCCTTGTGTATCTTTATTGGGCCTTTCAAAATCCTTACAGGGCCTTGCCAGGTGGTGGGGTGGGCTGACCACTAAGCACTACTGCCCTTAAGGGCAGGTTACCCTGTCACACTATCTTACTCTTGTTTTTAAATGTCATTCCTGCTTTGAAAGTATTCATTTGGGAAGATGGAAACTGAAGGATCTGGGTTTGTGAGCAAACAGCAGTATTTGCATAGATCTGCCTTTGCATGGTGATAAGCCAGCAGCAGCTAGGACAGGTGAATGGATGCTCTACTATGAGGCAAGCTGCTGGAGACAAAACCGTCCTATTCCAGACTGTTTGTAATTCACTTAGTTTTTTTTTTTTTTCTTCTCTCTCTCCTCTGCATTGCTGTGTACTCTGTTTCCCCCTTGGTGCAGGCCGGAACAGGGAGGTGATAGAGTACAACCTTCCGCGTCAGTGCATCCGTGATTACTTCCCCACACGCAAGTGCTTCGTGTTTATCAGGCCGGCCAGTGAAAGGGACATGAAGCAACTGGAGACGCTCTCTGACAGCGCCTTACAGCCCGAGTTCCTGGAGCAAAGCGACAGATTCTGCCAGTACGTTCTCCGGGAGTCGAAGGTGAAGATGCTGAAAGGAGGGCACCACATCAATGGGCGAAGTACGTCATGGGCATGAGAATAACAAATCAATGTAATTGTCTGTGCAGCCATGCTGTCCCCACTGCACAAGAATAAGAATAGGAAGAACATGTCATCAGTCTCCACTGATTCACTTGGGGATAGAATGTAACTTCTAGTGTCCTAACAAAACACGGGGAATTTTATATCATGTACCCTGGCCTTGTCTGCACCCCATTCCTGCTGCCCTCTCCCTCCTACCCCTGCAATGTGTCTCAGTAGTAGCAGTCATATTTTATTCATTTACTTATTGTTTATTTGTATTGCCGTGGTGCCCAGGAGCCCTAGTCACCGACCAAGACCCCACTGTGATAGGCACTGTGCAAACACAGAACAAAAAGATAGTCCCTGCGTGTAGAAGGTTCGTGCCGGGGCTCGACCCTCCTGGGCAGGAGTGGAGCCACACCGACTCACTACCAGTGAGGCAGTGGTAGAGTTCAGGCCTCAGGCAGGGGCTGAGCAAACAAACAGTTAGTTCAGGGCTCAGGCCCTTTGGTGCAGGGGCTGAGCAAACAAACCATTCAGGGAGCTCAGGTCCATTGGTGCAGGGGCTGGGCAACAATATAACAGTTGGGATAAGCCCAGGCTCCTACACCTGAACGTTGGGTGAGGGGGAAGCCTGCCACCCACGAGCTGGGGTGGCGGGGGGGACGCAGGCCCACCCACTCCACTGCGTCCCAGCCCGGGGCCCTAGCAGCGGCTCGTGTTGCTGCTGGTCACTGGGGTGTCCTGACCGAAACACACTGACATCGGCTCACAGCCGTCCACAGCCTGACCGGGGTCGGCTACACCTGGGCTGCTTCCAGGTTCCCCCTCAGGGCCTACCTCATCCGTGGCACTGGGCCCAGTCCAGTCCTCCAGCATGGGCTCCTCTTGGCCGGGGCTTGGTGACAGGTCCAGCAGCTCCTCAGGGAAAACCGGCCAATTGCACTCGGGCGGCTCCTCCGGGTAACAGCAGGGGCGGAGGGGTACTGGTGCCGTCTCGCCTTTGGGGTTGGTGTGGGGGAGTTCCAACGGCTCCTCCCAAAGACGGGAGCGGACGGGCTCCGGTGGTTCCTCCTCATAATGGGCTCGGGAGAGCTCCGGCCAGCTAGGGCAACGGCCTCGGGCCTCGGAGATCTCCCGGCCGGGAGCTCCCAGCCGCACGTCTACTCCCTGCGGTGGCTGGGCTCTCCCTGAGCACTGACGGCCAGCTTTTATACTTCCTGTCCCGTCCCTTGACTTCCGAGGGGCAGGAACAGGCATCGGTGACTCCACCCACGTGGGTGTCTGTAAGGGCTCTCCCTCTGCTGGGCAGGAGGGGAGCAACACCGACTCACTACACTGCCCCAAAGCTTCCAGTCTCAGGGATCGTCTACAGGGTGCAGCTGCACCGATGTGTAATGCGTCTGGTGAAGATTCTCTATGTCGATGGAAGAGAGCACTTCTGTCAGCATAACAACTCCACCTTTGCGCTTAGGTCGGTGTAACTTGCATCACACAGGGGAGTGGATTATTCACACCCCATGAGCAATGTAAGTTATACAGAAATAAGCTCTAGTATAGACCAAACCTAACTATAAGACAAGAGAAACAGGTGACAGACAGAGAGACAGATGGGGGAGCCCAAAGAAATGAGATCATAGCAAATTTCAGTCCCTTCCTCACCATTCACCAGCTGCCCCTTCCCTCTCTTCCTCCCTCACTCCCTGGGAACTGCCCTGTCTCTCTCCCCAGCTTTTCCTGGTCTGATCCCCACCCCCTTCTCAGCTGGCCACCTAGCCATTCCTCACCTTCCGTGTAAACCAGTCCCTTTACTGGCCCCTTGCCAGCTGCCCCTCCCTCTAATAACTCATAAGACTCAGATTATGGGACCACCAGGGACCAATGTATTGTAACCATCTGGTCGGAGCTCCTGCACAGCACAGGCTGGAGAATTTCACCTCATCATTCCTGCCTCCAGCCTGACTACCTGGGCAGAACTTACAGATGGTGAATCCCAGACTTGTCAGAAAACAGAAAGCTTGGTCAGTGAAGCCTATTAGTGAGCAGCGCTCAGTCCTGTGTTACTGGTGGACTTACTTTCCTTAGTTTTTCTGAACAGATAGAAACCCTTATCTGCCCCCAAAGTGTTACGGATTTTGAGACATCAGCATATAAAATAATCCAGTCCCTGAATTTCTATAGGGCACTTTCCCCTTCCCCATAAGCCATACTGCATCAGCCAGGGACTTAAAAATTCTCCAATGTGTCCTGGTCTCTTCCCTATGCCCTCGCAGTCATCCCTTCTCCTCCCCAGCGCTCCAATGGGTTTTGTTCCCTTCCCAACCCTCATCTCACCTACCCCAAGCCTCTCACCCCTTCGGATGTGCCCTGGTACCTCCAGCACACCTCCCAGTTACCTTATCCTTTATGTCACATCCAATGGGCCTTCTCCATGTCCCTCTGAGCTCTGCCTCCCTAACCATCTTAGCACTCAGGCACTGGGGGATCTTAGGGCTGCACTCTTTGACAACCCCATCCCAGCTACCCCTTCCTTCCTGCCTGTCCTGCTCTTTGGCCATCTCTGCTGGGAAGCCTGGCCAAACCACTGCTTTTTCTGGTGTCAGGTGCCAGGCTCAGGGCAGAGCAGGGGGATTAATCTGACACTGGGGAGTGAGCTGTATGTGCTCAGAAATAGCCTTGCCACAACGAGGGTCCAAAGTCACCTTCTCTTCTCCTACCCTCTCTTCTCTCACAAGGCCCAATGCACCATCACCCTGAGCCTTGTGCACTCATCTACACCAGTGCAAGTGAGTGTGAAATGGCAGCAGTTTTCCACTCCCATTTTGCATTGGTGTAAATAGCTGTACAAGGGACCAGACAATGGTGCACAAAGGCCATAATGTCCAAATAGGAATTCCTCTGACTCTTCACAAGACAGGACTGTTGAGGGAAGGCAAGGATGTGCTGTTTTTAGGATCCCTGTTTCTTAGATTTCCCAATAATTACATACTTGTTTGTAATTAGCTTGAAAATTCTTCTGGGCTGCCCTATGGCTGTTCAGGTTGTCCCCTGAGGCCAGAGTACTTTGCTGAAACAAAATGAAATTACATATCTCTGGCTTTCCAGTGAACAATTTTACTATGTCATCACCATCTCCTTAAGAGCTTAGTGTAGACTAGGCTTGTTCAAATTAGCCTTCTGTTGATATTTCCTGGGTTAATTAAGAGATAGGTAAATTTCTTAGGACTAGTCACCATAGGTAAGAAATTAAGGATGATGCTGGAAATACAGCATGGAAATTTATGCATGTCCCTACAGGTATATGTAGATGGGACATTAGTTAGCTAGAAAGATACATGCTGTGTCTCCCTAAATGAACCCCATCACCAGAGTGTCTGAGGACTTATCTCCATGGGGAAATTTACTGGAAGAACTATACACAGGTACATTTATAACACTAGTTATAGCAATACAACTCCCCATGTGGGCACTCCTATAACAGTATAGTTCTGCTGGTAAATTTCCCCATGTAGACCAACATTGAGAGTAAGTAGAAATAGAATGGACAATGACAATCTGTCTTTTTCTTCACAGCATGTAGGAAAAACAGCTTTATTAATTTATAAAAGTTTTTAAAATTTGCAAGTGAAAACAATTTAACAGGAAACCCAAGTCAAAAGAGATGAGTTTCATATTTAGTTCCTAATGTCATGACTGAGGCCTGTGCTCAAATTTCTCACTTGAAGAAGGTTTCCTGGTTCAAGGATATAGATTCATAGATTCTAAGGCCAGAAGTGACCATTGTGATCATCTAGTCTGATCTACCCTACAGCACAGGACAGAAAAGTTCCCCAAAAAGGAGATCTTTTAGAAAAAATCCACCCTTGGTTTAAAAATTGTCAGTGATGGAGAATCCACCACCACCTTTGGTAATTTTTTTTCAGTGGTTAATTACTCACTGTTAAAAATGTATGCCATATTTCCAATCTGAATTTGTCAAGCTTCAACTTCCAGCCGTTGGGTCATGTTAGACATTTCTCTGCTAGATTGAAGAGCCCATTATTAAACAAGACAGTAATCAATAACCCCTTAACCCTTTCTTTGTTAAGCTAAACAGATTGAACTCCTTGAGTCTGTCACTAGAAGGCAGCTTTTCCAGTCCTTTCATCATTCTTGTGGCTCTTTTCTGAACTTGTTTATCAACATTGTTCTTGAAGTGGGGTGGACCAGAACTGGACACAGGATTCCAGCAATAGTCACATCAGTGCAAAATACAGATGCAAAACAACCTCTCTACTCATACTCGAGATTCCCCTGTTTATGTATCCCAGGATCGCATTCGTTTTTTGGAAACAGTGTCACACTGGGAGCTCATGTTCAGCTGATAATTCATGCCCCTCCCCGAGTCATTGCTTGGTGTGGCAGGATTGTTCAAAGCAGACAAACTCTTCTGGTGATATGAAGCTTCCAAGCCTAGATCTGCAGCTGATGTAAATCAGTGTAGCTGTACTGGAGTCAGTGGGCCAGATCCCCAGGTGATGTAAACCAGTGTAGCTCCAGCTGGTGTAAATTAACATAGCTCCACTGGATTCAATAGGCCAGATCTGCAACCAGTGACTCAGCATAGCTACATTATAGCAGAGTGCCCACTCTACAACAGTTAGAGTACTCCACCTTTAAACAGAAACCTTCATTGAACCCTACGTGCTCTAAAATCCACCTGGATTGTCTTGAAATTTGCTCTGGGAGTGGGAGGTACTGTTAGTGGTCCAAATTTCAGGTCATTTGAGCAAGAATTTCCCCAAGATAAGGCCCCCATAAAAACAGCATTTTCCAAAATCATCTCATCCTTCTAACTCTCTTGGCCCACATCTGGGGCTCAGACTATGACTTTGATCCTCCCCAAACCAATCTCATCACTGAACATTTATCTCAGCTGGTGCAGGGCACTCACTGCCTCTTTGGGTGGGTTATATCAAGGATAAAGGGAGTAACTTGAGATGGCGCGTGCCAAGCTGATTCGCCTAAAAGAGTGAATGGGCATGTGCAGCAATAGAAGCAAACAGCGCTGTTGAAGCAAGAGGGTTTGCAAGCAGACAGTTGTTGCAATACATAACTGATGCAGGATAACATGCTGAGAACCTGAGGCACTGTAAGCTTGAGCCCTACCACTGGCAGGTCATAGAGACTGTTTATTGGCCATGTCCCCTGTTCTCTATCTGCAGCCTGGATGAGTTGTCCATCCCTGAGACCAAAATTTCTGGTTTAAGAGTGATATTTGGAAGTGCCCTAAAATCCACATGCAGACTGTGATGGCACTTGAGAACTATAGTGAAGAAGAAAAGCATTAATTAAGTTGAGGAAAGAAGGCCCAGATCCTCAAAGGTATTTAGGCTCCTAACTTACTCTTGGGGGGGGGCGGGGGTCTGACCCCATCTTTCTGCCCCCTGTGTAAGCTTAAATTTGGAGGGCCCTGCTCCTCAGGTGGGATTCTGCCCCACACCCCTCCCCACCCACTGTGTTATCCAGAATACTAAATGCCTGAGGGTAAGGTGATGGAAACTCCCAGTGTGGGTGTATAGAGCCCTTTCCCAGACAGCAGGCAGAAACACAGGGCAAGGACTCTGCATCTCCACTTTGCTACCCCTCCCTGTCCCCAGATGGTCCTCCCAGCCCCACCACCTTCCCAAGTCCCCTGGCCCCTCCAAGGTCACCAGGGAGTGGAACAGCAAAGAGGAGGGTACAGCTGGTGTGTGTGCAGGGAATTGGAGCAGGAGTGTGTGCACAGGTGAACACAACATTGGGCAGAGTGGAGGGAATATTGGAGGAGTGGAGCAGGGTCAGAGCAGTGATAGGGGGTTGTCAGAACAATCGGCATCATGGAGGGAATTTATAAGAGTGCAACAGTGAGTTTAGCCAGGCTTTGGATAAACTGACAATGAGAGACAGTCCCTGCCCTAGCTGAGATCAGGGTCCTGTTGTGCCTGGCGCTTCACAGATACACAGTCCCTGCACTACAGAGCTCACATTTTTATGTCAACTTACAGTAAGGAGATGGGCAAACAGAACGGGTGTCATGCAGAAGGTGGAAAATGGGGAGGTAATAGTAAAATCAGCTAGTGTTGTACAGTAACTAACAATCATATACATGACAAAGAGTCCTGTGGCACCTTATAGACTAACAGACGTATTGCATCATAAGCTTTCGTGGGTGAATGCCCACTTCGTCAGATGCATCTGTCCTGGAAAGTATGGTCCTACCGCAAGTGTACATAACAGATGGGTTCACTCATGTGGTTAAAATTAATCATGTGCTTAAGTGTTTTGTTGCATCTGGGTCAGAGTGCTCAGCACCTCACAGGACAGAGCCCTCAATGACTTGGAAGGAGACAAATTAGAGACAGTCCAGAGGACAGCAAAAAATGATAAAAAGTTTAGAAAATCTGGCCTATTAGGAAAAGTTAATAAAACTGGGCATGTTTAGTCTTCAGAAAAGATTATTATCAGGTCCCTCCTCCGTCTTCATCAAATATGTTAAGGCCTGTTATAAAGAGGATGGTGATCAGTAGTTCTCCATGTGCACTGAAGATAGGACAAGAAGTAATTAGCTTAATCTGCAGCAAGGTCGATTTAGGTTAGATATTAGGAAAACTTTGCTAACTATAAGAATAGTTAAGCTCTGGAACAGGCTTTCAAGGGACGTTGTGGAATCTCCATCACTGCAGGGGATGGATCACTTGCTGATTCCCTGTTCTGTTCATTCCCTCTGGGGCACCTGGCATTGGCCACTGTCGGAGGACAGGATACTGGGCTAGATGGACCTTTGGTCTGACCCAGTCTGGCTGTTCTTATGTTCTTATGAGGTTTTTAAGAACAGGTTGGACAAACACCTGTCAGGGATGGTCTAGGTTTATTTGTCCTTGCCTTACCACGGGGGGCTGGACTTGATGACCTCTCAGAGTTCCTTCCAGTCCCACATGATTTTTTTAAATCGCACAACCCATTCTACCACTGCCACCTCCTGTCTTTCAGCAACATCCACACATGCAGGTTCTCACCAGGCCATGAGTCTCTATATTCTCTCTAAAATCTACCCCACCCTCTGTCTCCACTGATAAAATGTGTCCCTCACAGTTCACCTGGTCCTGTGTACCTTCTCCCCCACCTCTGCAGGCCGCCCAAAATGCTGCTTCTAAGATCTGCTTCCTCTCCTGCCTCCCTGACCATGTCACTGCCCTTCCCCTCTCTTCTCTGGTTTACTGTCTCTTTCTGCATTATATTCAGGCTCCTTGGCTGCAGCTTTAATGCTTTTTGCAGCACCTCCCCTACATTTATCTCTCTACCTTCATCTCCTCCTGAACTCCTTCCTTGGGCCCAACACTGTCCGGTTCTCTCTATTTCAGCCACTCTCAGCTTCAGGCCTTTTACATGGTGCCTCCTATGCCTGGAATTGCTTCATATATTCTTTATGCCAAGTGCCCTCCCTCTCCTCCATCAAACCCATTTCATTCACGCTCCCTTCCCTCACTGCTCAGCTATGCCCCCATCTTCTTCCACCCTCAGACCTCATCATCTCATTGTTTATAGTGTATCTCTTTGGTTAGGCTGTGATCTCCTGAGGACAGGGACCAGTCTCAGCTCTGGGTCTGTGAAGGGCCCTGCACACCCCTTGGGGTTATACATTGTAGATAAACAATAGCAGTAAATGGCATCAGCTTCTATCAGTGATGTGTCTGTGTGAGCTACTCAGCTAACAAAAATAGAAGAACCCCAAGGGCAGCCCAGAGCAGGGGACTGGCCATCACTGGAGTCTGTGTGGATTTTCCTAATGCTGCCCTCCCTTGCTCTGCTCTTCCCCAGTGTTTGGCATGTTAGCCCAGAGCTACGTGGACACCATCGTCAGTGGGAAGGTGCCCTGCCTGGAGAATGCAGTGACCACCCTGGCCACCAAGGAGAATGAAGCTGCCATCAGGGAGGGTCTGGCTTACTACGTGGCCCAGATGGAGGAACGGGTCAAGTTCCCGGCGGAGGTGGCCGTGCTGTCTGAGACACATGGGAATTGTGAGAAGGCAGCCCTGCAGCTGTTCATGCAGCGATCCTTCAAGGACGAGGATCAGAAGCACCAGGAGCAGCTGGCAGTAAGTGCTTGGGCGCTGCATGTCCCCCTGCCTTGTACATCCCACTGGCTTGACATGTGGGGCTCTGTGACCTCTGCCCAGCCGTGTCCCAGAGGAGACACCAGGAGTTTGGACGCTGACTCTGGGAGCAGGCCAGACATTGGCACTCAACTCCGAGAGCAGATGTTTGGGTGGCACTTGAACTGTCTGATACTAAAGCCACAAACCCAGTCCCTGGCGCTGCGGCTCAGCTCAGCCTGTTGCTCACACTGATCCGGCCGTATTTGCCCCTCCATGGGAAAGTAAAGAATGTGGCCACAAACTAACTGCTGAGAAAGCTCAGAAACCCCTGCTGGAGTGTGACATCCAGCTGATCCAGCCCTTTCTCCACTTAGGGCTTTTTTTAAAAAAGACTATTTATGTAGGAAGTTTTAACAAATTTAGAAATCATTGCCATGTAAACAAGAGAATCATTGTGGATCACTACAAAGTTGAGCCTATCGGTTTGCTTAGAGCAGGGGTTCTCAAACTGGGGGTTGGGACCCCTCAGGGGGTCGCAAGGTTATTACATGGGGGGTCGCGAGCTGTCAGCCTCCACCCCAAACTCTGCTTTGCATCCAGCATTTATAATGGTGTTAAATATATAAAAAGTGTTTTTAATTTATAGGGGGGGGGTCGCACTCAGAGGCTTGCTATTTTAAAGGGGTCACCAGTACAAAAGTTTGAGAACCACTGGCTTAGAGAAACATGATCTGATGACTGTATCACTGGATCTCTCTATTTAGTATGGTGTTACCATATTACAGAAGGAGCCTCTTTAAACCATGCAGGATGGGCTGCTTCTGAGGATTTTATTAAACTGAGTGAAAGTCCTGACTTTACGCATATTTATCAAACCAGTGATCTCTAACAAACGTTAATATTCAAGAATATTGGGCAGTGTGGTGGCTGTTAGCCCGTGACTGCCCTTTGCCTGAGTAACGAATACATCGTAACCAAATCTCTAAGTATCTATTTGCCCACTGTCTGTTTTGCTGGGTAAGTAATCTGTGCATTAATTTTTCCATAACAACTCCTCCTCCCGTATTGTTTTGGAACCATTCCGCTGATTTTGGATTATTTTCTTTCTCCAGTCTCAGTAGCCTACTCAGCAGCTACTGGCAGATGAGAGAACGACTCTTCATTTCTTTGAGTGTGACCATGTCTGTGAGGAAGCTGCATGAGGATTAGCAAAGGATCATTTGGCAAAATATTTAATCATTTGAAATATTTGGTTATGAATCACATTCCGATATTCTCTAATGACAGGCCACGGCCACCATATATGCATGAAATCACCTCTTTCACCACAGCTTCTCCAACATGTATCCCCATTCACTCTCTCTATATTAATTAATGTTAGTTCCTTCCCTGCCCCTCCATCACCTCGGGTCTCTCTGCCTGTCCAGTACAGCCTGGTTCTTCCATCCCAGCCCTCCCCCTTATGGAGAGTTGAGAAGAGAATGCTCGAACAGTGCAGGGAGTCAAATAGAGTCAGCACAGACACTTTTAGTGGGGGGACAGACCTGGGTGGCACGGATGTGGGAGTTCAGGGAGGACAGAGATAAAATGCCCCAACATTTCCCACTGCCCAATTCATCATTCATAGATTCCAAGGTCAGAAAGGACCATTAGATCATCTAGTCTGACCTCCCGCATAACACAGGCCAGAGAATTTCAGGTTATCCCTTTACTGAGTCCAGCAGTGTTTGATAAAAGTAACTTCCTGAAAGGGATCCAGGCTTGATTTCAAGACCTCAGGAGATGGAGAATCCATCCAGGACTTCCTGGGGAGTTTGTTGCAGTGGTTAATCACCCTCGTTGTTAACACACTGTGCCTTAGGGCATGTTTACACATACAGTGCTGTAGGGGCTCCGCTGCACTGCTGCAGTGCAGCTGGTGGAGATCCTCTGTGTCGAGCTCTCCTGTCAGCATAATAAAACCACCTCCACAAGCAGCAGCCGCTGTGTTGGTGGGAGAAGCTCTCCCACGGACATAGCACTGTCCACACCAGCACTTATGTCGATGTAACTTATGTCACTCGGGGAGGGGGGGTATTCACACCCCTGAGCGACATAAGTTATACTGACATAAGCTGTAATGTAGACATAGCCTTAGTTATAACTTGAATGTGTGTGGTTTAGCTCCAAGCCACTGGTTCTTGTTCTGCCTTTCTCTGCAAAAGAGCCCTTTGGTATTCAGTATTTTCTCCCTGTAAAGGTGCTAATACACGTCTATCAAGTCACCGTTCATTCTTTTCTTTTCTTTTTTTAAATAAGCTAAACAAATCAAACTCCTTAAGTCCCTCACAACAATGTAGTTTTCCAGCTCTCCAATCATTTTTTTGGCTCTCATTTAAACTCTCTTCAGTTTAACAATCTCCTGGACATCAGTATTCCAGTATCAGTCTCACCAACACCGTATGCAGAGGTAAAATCACCTCCTTACTCCTGTTCACTACTCCTGTTTATACGTCCATGGATGTAGCTCTTTTGCCACAAAATTGCCACGGGAGCCCATGTTCAGAGTCACTGCTTTCCAGGACCCAGTGCCACATTCTGTACAAATAGCTCTGAGGCCTTCCTGTGCACCTCATTCTTCCTTGCACTGCTCCAAGACCCCAGCACATTCCTTACCCCCTGCTCCGACTCCAACCTTTACTCTTGACACTGCTCAGAGTCTGCCAGCATTCCTGCCCTCACACCTATATCTCTGAATAACCCCACAGCCCCTGCTGCTCGGAGACCCCTCCAAATTTGGGCCTAATGAGTGGAAAAAATCTGTTAATTTTTGTGTCCTTAGCTAGTTATTCTTCAAATTCTTTCTTGGCCTACCGAATTATACTCTTACACTTCACTTGTCAGAGCTTATACTCCTTTCTATTTTCTAGCACTAGGATTTGACTTCCAATTTTGTGCCTCTAGCCACATCTTTTACTCTGAGGATTAGCCGTGGTGGCATTTTTTTGGTCCTCTTATTAGTTTTTTTTAAATTGATTTCATTAGCGGCAATACTTTATTATGTATTTATTTCTTTGCTTTGCTGTAGCACCTAGGAGCCCCAAGCATAGACCAGGACCCCTCTGTGCTAGGTGCTGTACATTATTATGGGTATTTATTGGGTATATTACAGTAGTACCTGGGCACCCCAGTCATTGACTCAGAGCCTTCTAGTCTAAGTACTGTATAAACACAGAACAAAGGGACAATCCCTGTCCCTAGGAGCTTGTATTATCACCCCTCTCCAGGGAAGTTTCTGTCAGGGAAATATTCTTCTCCTATAGACACTTCTGGGTCAGACAATGCGATTTTTCACTCTAAGTCTGGTCCATCACCTTCAGTCCCTGGGGTTGATGTTCAAGGATCCCTGCAGCTTTTTCCCTAGTAAGTAACCCTGCCCCCTAAGCTAGAGGTGGCCGATCTCCTGTCCTCCTCCCTTAATAGCAACAGACAGGACTGCACCTTCTGGCAGCCTCCATCTGAGGCCTGCCATGCACAGAGGGACTGGGAGAGGGTAACTGTGGCACTAGCTTTTCAGAAGCAAATTCTTAGGCCTTTTTGACACAGACAACTTCCCCTCACGGCCAATCTTATATAAGAAACTTTCTCTCTTTGTCTGTTTTCCTGATTTCCATGTCCCCACAGGAATCCTCAGCCATGGCTCACTCTACTTACATCCCAGATGTATGGGGAGCAAAGCAACACCAGTCAGCAGCCCCTAAGGAAACCCACAGGGACAGGGGCTAGTCCAGTTGTCTAAATACCAGGTCTTATTGTTCTGTAAAAGATCTTGCTGTCCCCACAAGAATTCCAAACATAAATGTATCCAAGTTATAGGACAAGGATAGTAGTTCATATGAGAAATCCCAAACTGAAAACCAGCATCTCCACAAAGAATCTCAGCCTACGTGCACCAATTGTGACTCTGGCTGAGTCTTACCAAGGGACAAAGGGTCAGATTTTCAAAGTTATAGGTTACCAAAGAGGCAGATAAGGTCTTAGTGGTATTTTCAAAAACTCTTAAGCAAGTTAGCCACCTAATTTCCATTGAAAATCAAAATGAACATTTTGGGTATTAGCAGTATGTTGTCATGAAAAGTTTCTTTTTGTAAAAGCTATTTTTTTTACCAATAAATAAATAAAAAATGTAGACCAGATCCCCCTCATACACAGTCCTGGCCCACTTGTCAGACACTGAGCCTTTGGTTTCTACTTCATAAGAGGGCAACATGTCTCCTAAACCCACCGGCACTGGTATGCTGGAAAGGGAAGGTGAGAAATGGCAGAAATCCAGTCATCCACTAACACTGCTCTCTCCCATGTCATTTTCCAGTTTGAGATAAATGAACATTACGGGACTGTGCTAAACAAGAACAAAATGACTTCCCAAGAGATCTGCCAGACGCTGCTCTCCCAGCTGTCAGCTGACATGGAGGGAAAGCTCAGAGATGGGGTTTACATGCAGCCTGGTGGGTATGAGGTGTATGTGAAAGATCAGAAACAAGTGGTGGAGAGTTTCCAGAGGACACCCAACAAAGGAGTCATGGTGAGTGATCAGCAGGGCCAGCAGAGTTATTCAGGGGAGAGCTGGAGCACTTTGGCTTTTTTATGCTTATGAACAGTTCACAAACTGTGTGCCTATGAAAGAGCATCATATCTGGCTGTGTGCATACGCTGCATGTTAGATGCCTGGTTGAGTGTTGCCAACTCCACATAGAAGCAAGTCATCAGAGAAACCCTGAAAAGTCACTAGGTGTTACTATTTAAGCATCCCAAATGTGTCAAAAATGTGACTAAACAAAATGTCCACAGATATCAACAGAGATTTATATATATGCGCATACATGAGATGGTAAATTTTCATTATGAACATAATACTGAAATAATACATTAGTGTATATAGAAAGTCTATAATCACTGAAAATGTTTTTAGACTGTAAATTGTATTCTAACCAGTGTTTGTCATAGGATTTGTCTACACTGGCAATTGAATGACAAAAGTTTTGTCTTTCAGAGGTGTTAAAAAAAAACACACCCTCAAAAGACAAAATTTTGACGATGACAAGCACCGGTGTGAACAGTGCTGTGTTGGCAGAAGCGCTCTCCTGCCGACAAAGCTAACCTCACCCATTGGGGGTAAAAGTTTATGTCAACAGGAGAGCTGACAAACAGCAGCTACACTGCGTGACTTTTAGCGACATGGCTGTAGTGACACAGCCGTATTGCTAAAAGCTGTGTAGTGTAGACATAGCCATAGTTTTGAAGGGCATGTCCTCGGAAGGACTTGCATTTGAAGGCTTGGGCTCATAGGCGCTGACTCCATGGATGTGCCGGGCAAGTGCTGAGATGGAGGGGGTGGGAAGGGGGCATGCAGTGGACTCGGGAGAGAGGTGGGACCAGGGCAGGGATTTGCAGAAGGGGTCCAATAGGGGCAGGGAGGGGCGGAGTTGGGGCGGGGACTTTGGAGAAGGGGTTGTGTCATAACTATAAAGGGAAGGGTAACAGCTGTCCTGTGTACAGTACTATAAAATCCCTCCTGGCCAGAGACTCCAAAATCCTTTTCCCTGTAAAGGGTTAAGAAGCTCAGGTAACCTGGCTGGCATCTGACCCAAAGGACCAATAAGGGGACAAGATACCTTCAAATCTTGGGGGGGGGGAAGGCTTTTGTTTATGCTCTTTGTTTGGGAGAGGGTTCGCTCTTGGGACTGAGAGGGACCAGACATCAATCCAGGTTCTCCCCATCTTTCTAAACAAGTCTCTCATATTTCAAACTTGTAAGTAAATAGCCAGGCAAGGCGTCTTAGTTTTACTTTGTTTTCTCAACCTGTAAATGTACCTTTTATTAGAGTGTTTATCTTTGTTTGCTGTACTTTGAACCTAAAACTAGAGGGGAGTCCTCTGAGCTCTTTAAGTTTGATTACCCTGTAAGGTTAATTTCCATACTGATTTTACAGAGATGATTTTTACCTTTTTCTTTAATTAAAAGCCTTCTTTTTAAGAACCTGATTGATTTTTCCTTGTTTTTAGATCCAGGGGGGTTGGATCTGTATTCACCAGGAGTTGGTGAAAGGAAGGAGGGGGAATGGTTAATTTCTCCTTGTTTTAGATCCAAGGGGGTTGGCTCTGTATTCACCAGGAGTTGGTGGGAGGAAGGAGGGGAATGGTTAATTTCTTCTTGTTTTAAGATCCTAGGGGTTTGGATCTGTATTCACCAGGGAATTGGTGAAAGGTTTCTCAAGGCTACCCAGGGAAGGGAATTAGTTTTTTGAGAATGGTGGCAGCGGACCAGAACTAAGCTGGTAATTAAGCTTAGAAGTCTTCATGCAGGCCCCCACATTTTGTACCCTAAAGTTCAAAGTGGGGATACAGCCTTGACAGGTTGGAATGGGGGCAGGGCAGGAGCGGGGGAAAGTTGGCATCTATGCTTGGGCTGTGAGGCTGTGAATGATAGGAAGGGTTTGATTGGAGCTCTGGTGGCAGAATAAATGCTTAGCAAATAACTGGCGCTCAGCTTCGATTCCTTGGTGGTGGGGATCGGGTGAAATTCCAGATCTAATGGGAAGCTGAAAGATGGGAAGATACAACTGCCCCAGGGGGAAAAGTTATGATCTTCTACAGGTAGTGGAGTTAATTACTCAATGTGTTAACCTGGGGTAAAATGGATAAAAGTAGGCTTGGTGTTTATTGTGTGGGTGAGCTATTGAGCAGTGCTTGAATAAACTGCAATTAGGGTTAGAGATTAATTAACATGTGAATGGCAGGATGTAAAATAATTCCCAACCCTCCATTCACTATAAGCTGCAGGCGACAAAAAGTTTGTGGAGGCTAATTAAATACTTTGCTAAAGCCAGGCGCACTTCGGAGAGAGCAGCACATTAGCCAGGGCTTGTTTTTACCCAAATGTTTTCTTTCTTGCTGCTCCATAGGAGGTAGCACAGCCTGTTATGCAGAGGAAGATGGCTAACGAAATCGTGTCTTACTAATCTATTAGAGTTCTTTGAAGGGGTCAACAAACATGTGGACAAGGGGGATCCAGTGGACATAGTGTACTTAGATTTCCAGAAAGCCTTTGACAAGGTCCCTCACCAAAGGCTCTTATGTAAATTAAGCTGCCAAGGGATAAAAGGGAAGGTCCTTTCATGGATTTAGAACTGGTTAAAAGACAGGTAACAAAGGGT